GAGGTACAGACAGGCCCGGCCGGCCGGCGAAGGGGAAGGGGGCGGGGAGTGGGGGCAAGGGGGCGTCCAAACCAACGCAGCCTGAGAACCGTTACTCCGGTCCAAGACGCCCCCCCCCCTTTTTCGTCCGGGCCACGTCTGTTTGGGCCCGTTTTGGGGACGCAAGCCGTCGACTGGCGGTGCATTCCAGCGCCTTCACGTCAAATCGGGCTTGCTTCGCCTGCTTGGCCTGCTTGGCCTGCTGTGCCGCCAAAAAGACGCGCGGAGCACTTCCTCCGGCAGGTCGCAAAGGTCACTGCAGTGCCGAGCGGCTCAGCGCTGTCTCTCTCGCACTCGCGGGGTGTCCCGCGGGGGTGCGAGAGAGACAGCGCTCACCGCTTTCCCCTCGCCATTATGACGTGGAGGTGTGCCGACGCTAATTCTCCTAATGAGTAAACGAGCAAAAAGGGGTTCCGGCCGCCCGGCCTATCCCGAAGTGCGCCGCGGTGCCGCCTGCCCGCGTTCTTCCCGGCCTTCTCTGCCTCCTCGTGCTCCCCGTGCTCCCCGTGCTCCCCGTGCTCCCCGTGCTCCCCGTGCTCCCCGTGCTCCCCGAGCTCCCCGAGCTCCCCGAGCTCCCCGAGCTCCCCGAGCTCCCCGAGCTCCCCGAGCTCCCCGAGCTCCCCGAGCTCCCCGAGCTCCCCGAGCTCCCCGTGCTCCCCGAGCTCGCGGGCCGCGACACGGCGATCGGGGCGTATCTGGAGCAGCGCACCGTCGTCGGCACCGCCGCCATTGTGCCCGATATTTGATACGACGACTTGCGGCGCGCTGCGGCTGCGGCGACTGGCGGCCAGGTCTGTCCGACCGGCTGGCTGGCAGGTTGCTGCTACATGTCGCCGCCCCGCCGCCCTGCATGTTGCCGGCCGTGTCGGAGGCGGAGGGGTGCGGCGAGGCACCGGCCACACACGTACACACACGTAGACACACACACACACACACGCACACACACACACACACACACACACACACACACACGCGCGCACACACACACACACACATACGCACGCACGCGCGCACACACACACACACACACACACACACGCACGCGCGCGCGCACGCACGCACTCCAGCGCGGAGTGGACTTCCCTGCCCCTTTCCATTTCGAGGCCTCTCCGGCCCGCATCCCGATGACGGCCTGACGGCCTGCGGACCGATTCCGTCTGTCTCTCTCCGCACCTCTACGGGGCGCCCCGCGAGTGCAAGAGAGACAGAGCGACGAAAATGAGCCTCGGTCTGGCGGCGGCCACCGGCATCGCGGCATCGCGCTCGAGTGCGACATCCTGTAGCGAGGCGGCGGGGCTGGAAGGATTGAAGAAGCGCGCTGGTTGTCTTTGACTCTTGGAGTGCTGTCGCCAGGTGCGGCGTGCTCGGAAGCAGGATGTGGAGGATTGACACACTGGTTGTGCAGTGTGGTGTCAGTGTGGTGGTGGGTGTACCGTCGACTGTTCGGGACAGAGGGGCTGGTTGCAGGCAAAACCGCCGCGCGTCCATTTGGCTCTTTTCGCGTAGCCGGTCGCGGTTGCCTGCCATCAGGCGATGTTTGCAGGGCCCACTGCCCTACCCCTTCGACCTGCGCCGCAAGGCTTGCCTTGCCGCGTTAGTGCTTGGCGGTGTGGCGGTCGGGGCAGCAGCGGGCTGCGCGCCGCTCGGGAGAAAGTGCTGCGCCGCGCTGCAGGCATGGCGAGCGTTGGCCTTCCGCCACCACTCCCCCGGCACGCCACGCCACGCCACGCCACGCGACGGCACTAACTGCGACCACGCCACGCCACTGGCAGGCCAGGCCGCAGGTGTCAGGAACCCTGCGCAAAACCGCGGCGCACCGCGCGGTCACCAAGTAGTCCCTCGGCGCGCTGTCTTAACGAGCCGGGTGCAGGGCGGGTCACTGTGCCGCGCCGACCGCCTCCCCGGGACGCCGACGTCGCCGACGTGCTGCGGCTTGGTGGCCGAGGCTTGGTGGCCGAGGCTTGGTGGCCGAGGCTTGGTGGCCGAGGCTTGGTGGCCGAGGCTTGGTGGCCGAGGCTTGGTGGCCGAGGCTTGGTGGCCGAGGCTTGGTGGCCGAGGCTTGGTGGCCGAGGCTTGGTGGCCGAGGCTTGGTGGCCGAGGCTTGGTGGCCGAGGCTTGGTGGCCGAGGCTTGGTGGCCGAGGCTTGGTATTCGAGCAGGGCGGCCAGGAGGTGCGTCGGGGCGACCGCAGGACTGCCTGCGAGCACGGCGCGGACGCCTGCCGAAAAAGGGAGGGAGTCCTGGAATGGCACGGGAAAGGGAACAGGATGAGCCTGGAATTGGGTCAGGGCCGGTCGGCCGGTCGCTCGGAAGCCTTTGTGTCACTGAGAAGGCAAGGGAAGGGCCTCGAAGGGATTGACTCCTTTTTTTCCTCGTTTTCTAATAAGCCGCGGCCCGTCGTAAACATGCGCGTTCCTGACGGAGCCGTCGGCCGGGCCGTCGCGTCGGGCTGCATGATCGGCTCCCCGCACAGTGAGCCAGAAGACTGGTGGAGCGGCCAAAACTCTAGACGCGTTTTGAGCTCCAGAGTCGCTAAATGGGACTCGAACCGAACAAGTGACCCCACCAATGGATTGCTCTCCGAACGAGGAATCTATTGGTGGGGTCAGACGTTCGGTTCGAGTCCCATTTAGCGACTCTGGAGCTCAAACTGCCGGCCTCTGGCCCACTGTGCTTCGCGTCGGGCTGCATGATCGGCTCCCCGTCGGTGCCCGTCGGCTGCCCGATCGTGTTTCGACTCGCTGCCGCCGTGCTCATTTTCGTCTCGAAACTCGAGACTTGCTGGGCGGAGACAGTCTCGGAGACCTGCACGCGCGAGCCAGCCGAAGAACGGCGTTCCGAATTCATAGAACACGGAGTATGCGAGTGGGCCCAGAACGAAACCGAGAGATGTCTAAACTAATTGAGTGTCTGATCCCAGCCGGCTCCACTGTAAGGGCCCGCGGCTTCATTACGGATGGTAATGCGGGGCGCACTGTCTCTCTCGCACCGCCGCGCGACGGCGCATGAGTGCGACAGAGACAGAGCGATCAAACGATCCACTGGAATCGGTCGTACTCGAGGCACACGTCGTGGAAAGCAATAAAACGGGATAAAACGCCACCGCGCTATCCATTCGTCATGTCTCTGTTCATCTCCCCGAAGTTTGGTTGTTCCTGCGAGAAGCGGCTCCGAAGACGTTGCTTTCGTGCCACTGGAGTTGACAAGTTGGACCTATAGCTCCGTACTCAGTTTGTAATTATTGTCCCAGCATGCAAACGGTTTTGCGACACGAAAATCGCACCGTTGAGTGGAGGTGAGGACGGGTGCCGGGTGCTCACCCAAACCACCGCCTTTCGTCAGTGAGATCCAAAATGTTTCCTTTGTCATTTTGGAGTAGAACTGCGTGTTCGGAGGAAGTGAGAGGATGAAAGAAAAGAGACGATGAAGAGCAGTGGACGTGGTGCGGCGTTTGAGGTGGTTGAGGTGACCCCTTCCCACAAAGGCGCTGCGAGCCAGGCTGGCCGGGCCCTCCTCGGTGCACAGGTTGAACCAGTCCGGCATGCCTGCAGGCAGCCGCAGGAGCGGCGAGAGGGGGCCGAAGGAGCGGACGAGAGGACGAAAGGAGGAAGGCGGAGAAAGAGGGAAGGAGTGGGGGGCGGAGAGAGAGAGGTGGGAGAGGCGTCGTCGCGCCTCGGCTACTCCATGGCCTTGTTTCTTGACCTAGTTGGAGCAAGGTCGTTAACTCTTGGGGCCAGCCAGCGCGCCAGCCAGCGCGCCAGCGAGGGCCCGCCCAGCCGTGGCCGGCCTGCCCGGCACCGCCGAGCCGGCCGAGCCCGCATTGTAGGCCAACCGAGAGAGCGCCTGGAGAAATGGACAGAGACGGCGCGAGCGGGGCGGCCGGTGCGAGTGAGAGGGAGCGAGCGTGAGCGGGCGCCCCTCCACTGGGACACGGCGAGGCGCGGCGGGGCGGGCAGGGGGACATTGGAGGGAAGGAGGGGGGCAAATGGGACACCTCGGGGAACGAGAGGAGCGAGGGCTCTGGAGAAATGGAAAGGGCTGCAAGCTGAGCAATGGTCGCTTCGCTCCACTGGACTGTTCAACAATTGCGACAGTTGTACTGAGTGGAAAAGTTGAAGTCGATGAAAGGCCGGCAACCGTGCGGGTGGAGCTTGGAAGGTGCCTCACCGTGGCCATGCCGGTTCGAGCACAAGCACCGACTCAGGAAGGTGGCGAGTCAGATTCTGTTTCCCTTTTTGGTAGCATTCAATTGGTTTTGCCTTTTTTATTCGGCGTCGAACCTCCTTCGGTTTGGACGTGCAGGAGGGTCCGGCGCGGTGTTCTGATGTTCCAGGCCGTTCGTTCGGTCCGAGGGCGCACAGTGGGCCAGGAGACCAGTGGAGGCGGCCAAAACTCTAGACGCGTTTTGAGCTCCAGAGTCGCTAAATGGGACCAGAACCGAACGTGTGACCCCACCAATGGATTGCTCTCCGAACGAGGAATCCATTGGTGGGGTCACACGTTCGGTTCGAGTCCCATTTAGCGACTCTGGAGCTCAAAACGCGTCTCGAGTTTTGGCCGCCTCCGCCGGTCTTCTGGCCCACTGTGCGTCGGGTCGACCTACTTCCGAGGGTTCTCCACGGAGCGCAGCGCGGAGCCATGCACCCCAGCCTCCTCGCTGCGCCTCCATGCCGGGCCCGACGGACCCTAGAACGGACCCGGTGGAGCGCCCGGCGAGTCACGGGTAGGCCTCCCCGCACGTCGAGAGGACGGCCGGGCTGGCCTACCCGACTTGGCGGGCGCTGGGCGCGCTGAGCTGGAGTCCTAGAGTGGACTAGGACTCTACGCTGAGCGTGAGCATTGCTGCTGGGCCACATTCACTCTTTTGCCGCCGTTCATAGAGTCCCTGGCGTTTAGAGTGAGCGCCGCGTTTAAATCGGCTCTGCATGCATCGGAAAGGGAGATGAAATAAAAATCCCGAACGATGTTTTTCGATTTTTCTCCCCCCTTGCATTATATATTGGTGCAATAGCACACGCAAACACACAGCACACGGCAAACAAATTCATCGACCTCCCTAAACATGCTACACACAAAAAATCAACACAAAAAGTTATGAATTAAAAAGCCATTAAAAGGAAATCTACACATCACAGTATGCATCACAAATTACAAGTTTAAAGATAAATTACATCAGGCGAACATAGTTTGTACAAGTTGAGGTTTTTATACAATATTTAAAACATACTAGAGTCATAGTCATGGCCAGAATAGAGAGGAAGACATTTTTTTGGAAGACACGTTCTGAGATGGGAACACTCAGAGACTTAGAAGCTTACGGTATATCAATAAATCTGTAAAGACAAATTATCTTGGAATGTAAAGCTTTTAAATAACTAATTTGAACCATTGTAAATTGCCAATAACAACTAAAAACCAATATAAAAATTATAAATAAAAGTTTAGATAACAATAAAGGTACAAACACATAATATAAAAAAATGATAGTTAGTTACTTTACAAAAATTTTTGACATGCAATGTCAGCAGAAAATAAACATAAAACCAATCTGGGGAAAATGCAACACACTGTTAGATAGGTGTTTTTGACAGTTAATGTTTAACAGTATAGGCAAGACAAACTGCAAGAGTAAAACAACTTGTGCTCACTGATACACTTTTACAAATCAAATAATTCATGAATAATATCTCTTCACTTCTTTTAATAAGGGGTCTATTGTGTTTTCATTTATTTCAATAAAGCGTTTTTCTCCACGGCTAAAATAGTAAATATCGCCGGAGTAAATATCAAACCATAGAGCATGGATGTGAAGTTCATGTTTCTCTAAACGCGACTTCAGAAATGAGTAGCTAGCAATGTTTTGCATTTGCTGAAGACAGTGGACCTGTAACAGAAGATATGTTCTTAGCATGTGATAAGACATTCCAAGTAGCTAAAACCATTCAAAATCCATTACCTGAGACAGCTTGTCAGGGATTGCAAATTTATCATCGGGATCAATATAGGCAACAAATTTGCGCATTGGAGTCTCAGCTTGAAATATTAATGGATGCTGGTATCCTGTTAGAGCCAGCTGCTGAAATTTTTCCAGTGAAGAGTGAGCGTGAGTGCAGAGCCATGATCGAAGTGGCGAAAGCCTCCGGTTTTTTTGAGACGACATTTCAGCATCACGCAATGCATACAGCAAATTCATAGCCTAAAAATGGAAACAAGGAGACTATGATAGAGAAATGGAGTACTCCAAACCAGACACACTTCAACAACTCATGTACATCCTCACCTTGCAATCAGAATGCCCACAGACAATAATATGACGGATATCGTTTATAATGCATCCCAATTCTAAAGCTGCTGGTTCATTGGTGTGGTATTCATCCAAGAAATGACCACAATGCGGAATGACGTTTCCTGCATTTCGAACTGAAATAAACCAATACATTTTATTTTTTAAAGTAACTTTGGTAAACCAAAACCACCAAATTCAAGTTTCTTACCAACAAACATGTCTCCGACGTTGGTTTCTGTGAACCTTGTGGGTATCATTCTACTGTCCATGCATGTAAAAAAAACTGCTTTTGGCTGGAATAGGAATACATATCATCTTTAACTTAAGGGAGCTTGAAATGCCCTTCAAAATGAAGCAAAGCATGACAAGAACTTTGTCCCCAGACAGTGCAGAAGCACACAAAATTTAATTTACACAAAAAGGCAAGATGACAGTCAGTTGACTGTCAAATTTCTTTAAAACTAAAATGTGTCGAACGTTATGGTAGCTTATTAAAAGGCTGATATGCTTTTAAAAGCCTTAAAATTTTCCGATTTTCCACCTTGGTCAAAGAACATAACCCTTCATCATTGTTTACATCCATAGGCCACTCAGTTTAGCAAACCTCACAGAGAATAACGAGCTTGATGAAATACGTTTGAAAAACTCTAGGAAAGATATATTTTGTATATAGTTTTTTTTTAGAACACTATAGCTAGATTTTGAAACCAAGGCTTTATTCAGTCATTTCCACTTCCATTCAAAAATTTTAACGATTGCTCCTCTAGTTTGGCGAAAACACATACACAAGGGGAAATGTAGGACAAAGCAGACGACAAGGTTTGTTCAATGGTCATAGTTCTTACCGCTGGATTATTGGCCACTTGTTTGAACTGTTCCACCATCGTTTTTCGATCTGTCACACGGTATTTCATTATGCCCTTTAAAATCTTGTCCATTGTCGAAAAGTTGGAATGGCTCGGAAGGAATGTCACGGGAAGTAAAGAGAGCAGACTGCACTTTGCACACGGCTAGGGTTGCCGGAAGTCGACAGCCGCATCCCCTTCCCCTTTCCTATGCACAGAGCGCGAAAACATTTGAGCTGATTAAGGTGTCATGAATTTTGAAATCGCACTGACTGACAAAGATTGTACTGTTAATGAGGTATTGGCAAGCTTTTTTGGTCCAAGGTAAGTTTTTTGAGGAGATTCAATACTTTTATGAATGCATTTTATTTGTTTTCAAATCATTACATTTGGTGCAAAACTTTGGTAAGCTTAAGTAAATACTTTTCATTATTTGGTGCCCCATTCATATAACACAGAGGTTCGCCACAAATCTTTGACTAAAAAGTGAACAAACATCCTATTTTCCCCTTTCAGGTATTCGTGCGCAACCACAAAAGTAACAACAATTTGCTTAGCAATTATCTTAAAATATAAACAATTCATACATAGAAAAAATAGATTATTGAGGTCTAACAATCACAACACACAATGAAAACAAATAATTATCTTTTACATCGCAAATTTTATAAAAAATATGTTTTAGTTTTTGTCTAAAAATAAACATTTCTTTAGTGAAAAATAAAGGTTCACTCTGTCTTTGAAAAGGGACTGACTACCCAGCCCAATTAAGCAGGGGCTCTAAGCTCTGAGAGTCACCAATTTAAATATTTTGATAATTCATATCAAAAGAATACCATTGTGCTCACTTAACCACTGCTAATATCGTCTAGTAGAAGGTCAGACAATCTGTCTCCTTTGAAACTTCCCATGGACAGGTTTCCAAGAGTAAGATTGCTGCTAGAAGAGTTGTTTCGGAAGCTGGGTAATTCTGATGGTCTATGTCCGAGAACATTGATACCAAAGAGGGGCTTATCTTTAGGATTCTGTAACTGGGGAAAGAAGAAATGGAATAAGGGGTAGTTACATAATTTGGGCAACACAGTGACACATAAAAAGAGAATACTTACATTTTTTTCAATGTCTTTTACAAGGTCTGAAACCCTTCTGATTCCCGAAGGGCCTGCATCTATTTCCTTATCATCATTCAGTGAAACTGATGTTAACTCAGATGTCTTGGTGTCACCAAAACTAAGCTCTCGTTTGGCAGGCGTTGGATCACCTTCTGATTTCCTGCAAAAATATGGAGAGAACAGAAATAAAACAAAGAAAACATCCAACAAAATTTTTAGGGAAACCAAATTAATAAAGCTCTGCTCACTTCATTGTTAGCGTGTCCGAACTATCTTTATCCCAGTCCCAGTCATCATCACTGTCTGAGTTAGCTGCACTTGTTGCAGATGTTAACAGATTGCTCCTTGGCTGAGGCACTGGTTTGTTACTATAAAGTGAACTGCTAAAAGTCTGCACCAGACTATTTTCGCTATTTGAACGATGTGCTGTGAGGGATTCATAGGAACTATGTGCAGGGCCAAGCTCAATGGTGTCAAAACCTGCCATCAGTTACAATTCTAAGAATTAGTCATAAAGCGACTAAAGTTCAATAAAAACTTTGTAAAAACAATAGGCATTCAAGTTTTGCTACAGTTAGACTACAAAAAAAAATTGTCTATGACTGGCGAATAATCAAATTTATACACACCATCCTTTTCATCTCTGAAAACTACTTTCTTCTTTGCTATGTTCCCTGTTGACAGAGATGATTTGAGATTGCTTTTCACAACTGACTGAGATGAAAGTTGGCTCGTGCTTTTACGAAATTTAGCAACATTAGCAAGTAGCTCAGCAGTTGTAAGAGTTGTGTGTGGGCGGGTCTTGGGAGCATCACTTGGTTTTTCACTTGTATTTTCCATTATATCTCGCAAGTCAGATTCAACTTCTGATATTGATTCAACATCTGATGAGATAAAAGTCATTTTTCCTGTACTGTAACCATAAGACAAACAAAATAATCAGGGGTACAATTGGTTTTCCTAAGAAAGGGGGCATTTTAGCAACACCAAAACTACATACCCCGGCTTAGCCATTGAATTAGTCTTGATTGGTGTTGAGGTTTTCAAATGACCAGGTTTGTTCACAGCTACATCAGGGTCTCTCTTATGAACTTCTATGTCTGACTTCTCCAGATTGGCATACATTGATCTACCATAAACTTGCACATTTGTTTTGCCAACACCCGGTAATTCTTTTTCATCTGAATCATCATGAATTATATCTGCTAAAGAGGCAGCAGATTTGGAAATGGTGTCAGCATGTTGTGGAAGGCTGCTGTCTGAATCATTCTTTTCAGACACTATAAGATTGGATGATTCCACAGCACCTACTGACTCTCTTAACTTTTCTGGGAGCAATTCATAATCATTTGTTGCTTTAGAATGTGAGGCAGTAGGCTCCTGAGAGTACACATTTTCAACGAGCTCTCCTGTCTTAGCACTTGATTTGATGGGGTGTTTTGAGGCATGTGAAGGGCGTCCTGTAATGGTGAATTGATCAAATTGTTATGGGACAACAGTCGAACTACATAAGTAGATTTGAGCCTGACTCAGAAAACCACACACCTGGAGATAGTCGACTTTTCACATGTGATTTTATGCGAGCAAATATTGAGAATGAACCAGATCCTCGCTTTTCTTTTGTCCTTGAAGAACTGGCGATTGACTGTTGGGCCTTCAAACGTTCAGCAACACGTTTGTCAACTTCTTTAGAAAGTGCTTCCTGGATGCCAAAGTAATTCTTTTGAGACTGTAAGGACAAAAACACAACATTTTAGATACTTTTTTTTTTAAAATACATAGTATACACATGAAATTTTTAAAAAGGCCAAAAAATGTCAGTACTGTACTAGTGGTAAATCAGTCAATACCTTGGCAGCAATATTTTGATGATGCTTTACAGTTGCCATATTTGAATGGAATGAAGCAACTGGAAGTTTATCCCATTCTGGATCAACACCCAACTCTCTTAACCTCCGGTTCAAAAGGCCCAATAAATCTTCCCTCAGTCCATTCAATAGTTGCGGTGTTAGTTGTACTCTGCAACATAAAAATAAAGGACACAGTTCAAATAAAGTTTATGCAAATAGAAATGAACATCCCAATTTATTTACCTTGTCTCTCTTTCTTTGGGAGAAGGTTCTTGATCACTATTTGACGACTGGCTCTCAGAATCATATGAACTACTGCCAGTTTCACTTGCAGAAGTACTGTTAGAGCTGCTTGGCTTAGCATACATTGATTTTATGTTTGTTGATGTCTCTTGTGTTTTTAAGTCTTTTGTGTTATCTGGGGAAGGAGTGGTTTGGATAACCATTTGTTTCTGTCTGACTTGGGAAAGGCCTTCTGAACCCAAGGAGGAAGTCTGTGAAGATGAGTCAGAATAGTCCTGCTCTGCTGGAGACACATATTCCTCCCGAATGACAGGCTCTTCTTTAGTTTTTGATGGCCTAGTGTCTTTCTCATTGGTTGATGTGACTTTAGTGCTCTTAATATGAAGATCCTTAATTTCTACAGAGGGTGCACCTTGAGAGGGTACTCCTACTGAGAGTGCACCTACGGAAGGTGCTCTTCCCCCATGAGAAACACTTCCAGTTTTGCCTCCAGTTCTATCCCAAGCCTGCTCATTAGAATGGAATACATGTTAGAAGGTTGCAAGACTAGGATGATTAAAGTTAAAATTAGAAATCACAATACCTGAGGTATTTCATTTCCTTGCAGCAATGAGTGTTGTGGACTAGTCAAGGAGACACTACCCACTACAGCAGATGGTGTGCTTAAATGATCACCAGACCCTGCAAGGCAAAAACAAAATTGTAAGATTTGCCTTTGGCAAACAACAAAATAAAATACCATATTAATGCAGGAGGAAACAAACCTCTGTTGTGTAAGATCGATTTTTTAAGATTATCAAGATCAGTTTGATGCTGACTTTGAAGCTCTTCAAGTTTCCTCTGCATGGCTAACTCATGAGCTTGGTTTTGAATCTTCAGCTGTTCTCTCAGCTCCCTTATTTCATTGCTTTGCTGCTCCACACTAATCAGAAGTGTTGATTGTACCGGGTCCTGCTTCGGCATTGGATTTTGGCTTGGCTGAGACACAGGGGGTAAATTGTTGTTGGTTTCATTTTCAGCCTGAGGAAACAGGAAGCATCAATAAAACTGATTCCAATAATAGGAAGTAAGTAAGAAGAATGGTGAAGGAATAATGTACTTTAGCCGAATTATTGGATGTAAGACTTTTCTCAGTAATTTCTATTTTTTCTGGAGTGGCTGCTAATGTCTGGGTCTGTTGAGGTGGGATGTATTCCGTGCGAATAGGATCTGCCATCGAGCTCAGGGTGTTAGGAGCAGTTTTCATTTTCTGGAACCATAACTCTTGATTAGAACAAAACCCAAAGTTAAACCCCCAATATAGATTATTATAGGAACATAAGATTTAAAAGATTACCAGTACCTGCAATTCATTTTGCAGCATAGTTTGAAGAGCATTCACATCTGGAATGATTGGGTCTTGCTTTCGGCTTAGGGCATCTTCTGTAGCATGGAGACGATCCTGCAGATCTTGAACTTGCTGCCGCAAACTTTCAACTTCCTTACTTTGGATGTTAAGGATTGATTCGGACCCTATTGATCCTGGGTGACGTCTTTGTTGGTGTGCTAAGAGATACTGTTCCCCAACAAAAGCCTTGTCACATCCTGGGCACTGAAAAGAAACAAAATGAACATGCAGACAAATAATGGAGTCATAACTCAAAATTTTAATATTCACACTTCTACTACCTTAAAACAGGGTGTTGGAGACTTATTACATTTTGTCCTTGCCTTCAACCTTTTCTGAAGAGCACTTAATTCTTCTGTATTCTGTTGTTTCAATTTTTGTAAATATTCTATTTCCTTGAGTAAAAAATATTGTTAAAATACGGGAATAAAAGTTAGTCTGGACACATATGCGACCAACTATAAGACTTACTTGCAACGCTACCCTCAGTTGTTCTTGCATTACTGTCACACAATGGTCTAAATAATTACGGCAATAAAGAAGAAAGTCAGCACCCAGTTGGGCCAGTTGGAAAATTTTTACAAAGTTTGGATCTAACACTTTGAGATCATATTCACTATTTAAACTGCAAGACATTACAGAGGATAAAGCATCTTGCAAGGTTTCCAAATCTCTTTCTCTCACAATTTTGTCAACATCAATGGATCCTAAGAAGAAAAAAAAGCAAATTTGGTAAGTAAACAACAATGTCGAAATCAGACAGGACAAAATGGAAGTGTCACAATGATTCACCAATTTTTGTCCAATCCACTCTTCCACGATACAAGTTGAAAGAGAAACCAGATTCTCGGGCGAGCCGTGGGAAATCGTGACGGCTGCCTGAGTCACAATGTAAGGTCATAGTTTCAAACAGGGGATAGGTCTTCATTTTCCTGTAAACATGGTTGATACAATTCATTAGCACAAGGTAATCCAACTTGTGTCATGTGGCATCCATGTAAAAGGTAAATTAACGTGAAGGTGCACACTCAAAATTGGTGAACATGACAATCACAGTAACTAGAATACTACAGAAAACTAAAGTTATACCTGACATAAGAGATCAATAACCCCTATTCCGAGACGACCAAGTCGATAAACAGCAGAAAGCGAAGCGCATGACGATGAAGCAGTGGGAGTCACTTTGGTTGGGACCCGCGCTACATTTTCTTTGAATAAATGTAATGCAATCTTTATCTTCAATTCAAAATATTACCCGATGAACACAAAGATCATAATCTGCCGCGCGAGTTGTTTATTTTAACGCCTTCTACTAACGCTTCAAATTCAAACTGAACGATGAAAAATTCTGAGTCTCTGACTGAGTTTCTCATATTCGTTGTTGTTTGGTTTTGGTGTTGTTTTGTTAGTCCGCCGCGGTGTTCATGCAAGATTATGTCTTGAATTTGCAGAAGAATAGTGTCTCCTTGGTGTCATCGGGACAATTTTTATTAGCTTGAATAGGAAACAAACAAATTTTCAAGATGGGTCGCCGTTCGATTAACACCACCAAGAGTGGGAAATACATGAATCCCACAGACCAAGCACGTAAGTCTAACCTAAAATCATTTGTATAGAATTTTCTTAAACAAGTGTTCAATAACGATGTCTGAGCGCTTATTTTAACTCATTTATTTTTATATTGTAAGCTTGTGCTTCCTTTTATGTCCTTCCATACCAACATAATGAACCTTGTAAATTCCACCTTTTGCTTAATGTTGAGCGTTGATTTTATTGGGTGTCTGGATAAATTACAACTTACCAATCTTCTTTTTAATTTTTTAAATCAGGTAAAGAAGCCAGGAAGAAAGAGCTTAAGAAAAATAAGAAGCAGAGGCAGATGGTGCGGGCAGCTGTCTTGAAAGGAAAAGATCCACACCAAATAATTTCTGAGCTGGAACGTATTGATCAGATGGGTAAGGTCTTAAATCATACCTCGTCATAACAGTATTCCATTGTCTTTGTAAAACTGTATCTTTTGGTGTCATGTTTTTCAGAATATAACGTTCTGCAGCCATCACCCCTCAATGAAAAAGTTTTGAAAGACAAGAGAAAGAAGTTGAAAGATACCCTTGATAGAGTATTGAAGATGTATGTAAGTATTGTAGGACAAGAAAGTGTATTTAACTGCTGCAAAATTCGTTTTTGTACTCTTTCATCATCTGGCACAAACAATTCTTTGAAAGATTTGAAATTTCTTTACAGGACAAAGATGATCCTGAGCGATGGGCAGAGCTGAAAACTCAAGAGGCAGATTATGAAAAACGTCGTACAGCTCTCTTGCAATATTATGAGGCTGTAAGACATGCCCAACAAGTTCAAATTGAAGAAATTCCCCTACCACTTTCCTTGACTGGTGGTATGCCAGACCTACCTGGTGGGTTAACCGGGCAGATTCCTCTGCCTGCAGGCCTTCCTTTGCACATTCCTCCACCTCCTAGTATTCTCAGGAAGAGGTCTGCTTACAGGTAAATTGTGCCAATGTAGGAGAATAGTAAAGAAAGTTGGTGGGTAACAGTTGTTTTAACATGAAAAAAATTGTTTTCAGCCCCTCCCGAAAACCAAAGAAAGCCCCTGGTGTTCCCCCAGGCCCCCCTCCAGAATTGTCGGATGATGAAGAAGACGGAGGTAAGTCCCTAGTTTGCTGTCATCACTATGTTTGGCTGGGATGTAAGCTCTGAATTAGTACTGATTAAGACTGTTCTTTCTTCCAGCGCCAATGGATACAACTCCCGTGTCCATTCCAGCTGGTAGTAGACGTATCAGGTTTGAAGATGATTCTGATGAGCGACCACCAGGAGATGACTCCAGAGATAAAAATAGTTTTGATGATGATCAAGATCGATCCAAAGTCAATCTAGCTCCCACATCAAAGCCTCAGCCCACAGCTCTACAGCAAAAGATGTTGGCCATGGCAGGCCAGGACATCGACCAATTTATGAAAGAGGTAAAACGTCGTGGCTTGTTGTAGTGTCATTACCTTTCCCGGATGGTTTAAATCTCATGTTGCTGCTGTGTGTTTGTTGTAGATGGAAGAAGTACATAAGAGAAAAGAAGCAGACCGGCAAGCGGATCTAGACGCTCGCCTTGCTGCCATTGCGGACTCAGGTGAAGAGCCCAGAAGAGGTGGCGAGGGAGACCAGGAAGAAGAAAGGGACAGACAATATGGAGAAGAAGACATTGAAGTTCCTGTATGTGGATACCTGATCTTTCTCCTTCCTATGGCAGTTTGATATCTCCTTTAATATTAATAATAATTTTTAATTTTTTTCAGGGTTTATCAACAAAACCACCAGGTCCACCTCCACTGTCATCCTTACCACCAGGTACATCTCGTCTTTTGTGTTTTGAACCCATTTGAGATATCAAGGTCGCCTTTGTCTAACTGCCCCCTGTTCGATCCACAGGACCACCACCCCTGATGAGCCTGCCTCACATGATGTTCCGGCCTCCACCTCCCGGAGCTCCGCCCCCGCCGCCGCCCATGGGGTCGGTGCGCGTGCCGCCCGGGCCGCCCCCAGGCCGCCCCCCAGTGCTGCCGCCGTCGCTGCCGCCCGGGCCGCCGCCGGGCCTGCCCCCGCGAGTGCGGCTGCCTCCCGGGCCGCCCCCAGGCATGCCCCCGCGGCTGGTGCGGATGCCCGGCGGCGGCATGATGTCCATGTCCATGCCGCCGCTGCCTGGGATGCCCGCCCCGCCCCTGGGCATGCCCCTGGGCCACGGCCCCCACGGCCACGGGCCCCACGGCCACGGCACGCCCAACGTGCTCTCCGCGGCGCCCCAGCTCATCAACCGCGCCGACGGCGGCGACCCCAAGAAGCTCGGTGCCACCACCATCGAGGCCAAGCCCCAGATTAGGTTGGCGCTGGCAGGCCCCCGTGCTTTCTTGTCCAAGATAAAAGTCTCACTTTGTATCAATGCTAATTTTTTATTTGGCCTTTCCAGAAACCTCAGTGCTGATGTTACTCGATTCCTTCCGACCGCCCTGCGCGTCAAGCGAGATGAGAAGATGCCTGTCAGAACACACAGAGCTCCAGGTTTGTGTTGATATGTTGAAATATTAAAAAAAAAAATTAGTTTGAGTTACTTCTAGCATTGGTTTGCTCTATCAAATACTTTGTTTTCCAGACATTCGTCCGGAAGTGCTTATGGCTCGTCAACATCAACAAGGACCTATACCACCAGGCAGAACCAAGGATGATGCTTACCAGCAATTCATGCGTGAAATGGAAGGCCTTCTGTAGATGTTATTAGGTTTTTTTAAATATTATTGATTTGAATGTCTTTCATGATTGATGTGAATGTTTTTTTCATGATTGATGTGAATGTTTTGTTCATGATTGATGTGAATGTTTTTTTCATGATTGATTTGAATGTTTTTGTTTGTGATTGACTCAAAATGTGTATATATGTATTCTAAATAAAACTTGAATTGAACAGATCAGTAGGCCTTCAAGGTTCCTACTGTTTTTACCGGGGTATCTATTCATAACAGAGATAGCAATATTTGTTGAATATATATACAACATTTATTTTATACAAAGTACATATCAAAGTACAAACTTAACTGATACAACACTATTTTACTTGAATATTCTCTGCAGTCTTCTACTATGTTGACTGGATGCCTCTACCAGAGCCTCATCTAATTTTTGGATTATGTGCTTCAGGTTGTTCGGATCTGTTTGCAAAAGGAGACTTTCTCGCACAGGATTGTCTTCAAGTTGTGGTCTTTCTTCCAAGCCCAGCTTCATGGTCAATGTGGGAATTGTTTCCTTTACTAAGGCTTTAGATGCAATCTACACATGACAGAATCAATGTTTTAATAAGTCTCGCAATGAAATCTAAAAAAATCATATGAAGAACAAATGCACAAAAGAAAGAATGGCCATCTTACCTGGACATCAAACCTCCATTCCAAATTATGATAATGTGGCAACGAAGGTGCAAGAGTACCCAGTGCCAGGTCCACTGTTTCTTTATTACTTTCATAAAACTCTGTCAACACAGATTCCAACTCCTCATTGAAACCTGATGCCAGGGCTACATCTCGAAAATCTGATCCTGATAGCTTTATGTTAAAGATAAAAAAAGCCACCATTAATAAAAATTATTTATTAAAAATAATAAATTTGGCTTATGAAACAGAACTAGTGACTAAAGGTACCTTGTGTTGTCTACTTTTAACAAGGAGCTGAACTAAGCCTTCTACCGCCAGCTGAATGACTTGGACTTCCACCGCAAGTTTTTCTGTAAGCGCAAAATTAGTTCGATATAAACTAAGTCCTATGACAGACAACAACATTGGCAGGAAGAAAACTTACGTGCAGCAGCAGAATACAATTTCAGATTGTGGCCTCTTTTCAGAAGCTCCAAGGCCAGTCTACAAAAATCCTGTAGCACTGCAAAAGTACAAGCAGATTCAAACGTAGGTCAACCAAGACAACCCAAAAGAGTGTCAAATTTATAAATCATGGTCTAAGAGGATCTTACACTGAGGTGGCTGGTTAAGCAACACAGATAAATGAGATTTGTGTTCCTCACTAAGGAGAAACATCATTTTCTGATAGGTAATACGTTTCAAAATTGGAAGTGAAAGCAGAAAAATGTTATCAAAACATAGGGCAATATAACCTACGAGCAATCAAAACAACAACAACAAAGGGAAAGAACTGGGCCCTACGCGAGGCTACCAGTATGAGAAACTGTGACTTCCGGCATTGCCAACTCTTGAACTATGAATGGATTCTTTATTGTGCAACGTCACACTCGTCATAGTGACACAGGAACTGGAAGCTTTTTTATGTAATCTCATGACTCTATTCTGGCCAGAAATTCCAGTATAACATTTAATAAAATTTTATTTCCGAAAAGTTTTTTGGGCAGAATGTTTACTCTATTTTTTTTGGCGCGAGTAGTTTGAAGAGTCTTGCAGGGGGTAACTCAAAATTAATCAAAAATTATCGGGAGTGGGGAAATAACAAAAACTATGCATGAAAAAATAAATGTATTTACAGTAAAATGTTTTACATCGACGACTTAATGGCGGTGGTTTCAGTCGCGGCGCTCCACGACAAGAGGCAGGCCCGACTTGCTGACGAGGACGACCTGCACGTCGAGGTCCAGCTTGGGGTCGGCGCTGTCCGGAAGGAATCGGAACTTGCTCACCAGACGGGCCAGCGTGGCTTTCATGGACAGCATGGCGAACCGCTGACCTGGATCACACACAAAAAAACCGCACTGTCACAAACGAGCAGTTTCTTTCGTCATTCAATTTTCGGTAGGGCAGTGGGCACACTTGCCGATGCAGTTCCTGTATCCCGCGCTGAACGGGACGTAGCTGAAGTGGTGGCGCGAGCTCTCCTCGCTGCTCCCTGACAGGAAGCGCTCGGGCTTGAACGCGGAGGGGTCCTTGAAGTACTCCTCGCGGTGGTGCATCAGGTAGGCGTTGATCAGGAGGGTAGCGCCGGCGGGGACGGTGTAGCCGCCTGCAAGACGTCCAAACAAGTGGTCAGTTCTTTTCTTTATGAGGGATGGGTTTCTCCGCATCAAACACGGGTGTCTCTCACTACTCACTGGGCAGCTTGAACTCGTCGTGGGCGTGGCGGCTGTACAAGGGCACGCTCGGGTAGAGCCGGAGCGACTCTTTGATGACGGCCTCCAAGTACTTGAGCTCGCCGAGCTGCGCCGACGTGCTCGTGCCACCTACACTGCGAGCCTCCTCGGCCACGCGGTCCTGCACCTCGGGGTGCGTCGCGAGGAGGAAGAGCGTGAAGCAGACCGACGTCATGGTCGTGTCGTGTCCCTGGACGCAAATTCGTTTCGGGGGGAATAAATTTACACTGTGCCTGGTTTCAGGCGGGAGCAACCCCCTGTAATTGCCCACCCCGGCTGACGGCCATTACCTCGAACATGAACGTGTTGACCTCGTCGAAGATGTCCTTCTCGGACAGGTCCTCCCCTTGGAGGTGCATGGTGAGCAGGTGGTCGATGAACATCTTTCGTTTCTTTGTCCCTGTACGGAGCACAAAGTTCGGTTATCACACCTGGAGCTCGTCAAAGCTTGAATCCCGAATGAGCGGCCGTTATTTGTACGAAATTTACCTAGTATTTCGTCGTTGTTGTCCGCGTCGAGGACGCCCTCCTTCATTTCCTTCGTGAGGTCGGATTTTCGGTCTGCGATTACCTGCGAGTGCGAAACTGAATTCATGCTTAGCGCTGAAGGGGGAAGGATGTCACGTTCCCGCCAGTATATGAAACAGAGCACAGTGCTGCCTACTCTAGAAACTGAAGAGAGTGCATGGCATGCTTTTCCTAGGAGTCAACCACAAAGCCGACTCTTCCCAAGAGCATGCTTGCAAGCCGACTCTTCCCAGGAGCATGCTTGCAAGCCGACTCTTCCCAGGAGCATGCTTGGCAAGCAAGGAGAGTGCTTGCGATCATGCTCCTGGGAAGAGTGTGCTTGCCAAGCATGCTCCTGGGAAGAGTCGGCTTGCAAGCATGCTCCTGGGAAGAGTCGGCTTGCAAGCATGCTCTTGGGAAGAGTCGGCTTTGTGGTTGACTCCTAGGAAAAGCATGCCATGCACTCTCTTCAGTTTCTAGAGTATGCAGTCGAGAGGTGCTTCACCTTCTTGGTGACGCCGTGGATGATGTCCAGGGCGCCGTAGAATTCCTTCGCTATTCGGGTCATCCGGAACAGGGCGTCGTTCCTGAGCCACGGGTAGGCGTGGCGATCGTCCACCGCTTTGCAGGCCCTGCAATGCCAGAGGACAGTCTCAGTCGTCCAGTCTACTAGTGGCTTCGTGTCCCGAACCCATCCTTACACTTTGACTGCCTGCACGAATCCCGAGTCCTCCTGAAGCTGGCAATTTAGTTGGGTTCCCATGGTCGTTTCTGACAAAAGAATAAAAAGGACACTGTGTAATCACCGAAAAAGTGAGCAAAGTAATGCTGGCGCCAGCAGTCGAACATCGTACCGCAGATGACGTCGAGGGCGTGTCGCGAGATGTAGGGCCGCAGGTCCACCACGCCCTTGCCCACCAGGCCGTCCACCAGGCCCTCCAGGACGACGCCCTTCTCGGTGAACACGTCCATGAACTGCTCCAGGATGCGGAAGTGGAAGGTCGGGGTGAGCTGCTTCCGGCGCGCGTGCCACTTCTTGGCTGCGGTGAAATAAAAGCATGACACGGCGGTCGAGAACCAGGAATGCTGCAGCGGTCACACCACGCCCCTCACCTCCGAGAAGAAGCAGGCCGTCACCGAGCCAGGGCCAAATCAGGGCGTAGTTCTTGCCCTTGTCGATGACGGCGGGGCTCGTCACGATGGCCTCGATGTCCTCGGCGACCGCCGTGATCACGAAGAACTCGGGGCCGATCCACATGCCCCAGACCGGGCCGAAGCGCTTGTAGTACCCGAAGCACCACGCCATCCCGGCTGCAAGTTCAGGTTGCCACTTCGACGTGAGTTGGAAACCCTAGCCTGTCATGTAACCGACCCGCGCAACTCACAGAGGCCGTAGTGGTAGATGGTGTCGGCGAGCCCGCCGATGCCCGGCAGCCACAGCAGGGGCTGGGGGAACTTGGCGGTGAGTTGGAACCGGCGCTTGTTCAGCAGCAGGTACACGGTCACGGCCAGCACCGCCGCGACCAACACCAACGCCGCGAGCGCCATGGCTGCGACAGGGACAGACTGCACAGTCCCACCGCCTTGATGTACCCAGCCTAGTGCACTTGAGGTGTCTACCCCCTCCTCCTTATCACGCCCAGCGTTCCGCCCTGCTATTCCTGTACTGTGACACACTCGCACGAGATAACTTTTTGTCTCGAAACGTCGGCACTATCGCCGATAGACAAAGCGCTACCCTAACCCCAATGAGACAACATTCGATTCTCCACCCGACATCAACGAGATAAAACGACTTTCAGCCGTGGGAGAGGGAAGTTCGATGAAACGGCAGTGTAAACACTTACTTCCTTCTTGACAAGCAGCAGTCGGAGGAAATGGTGTGACACTAGTTCTGCGCTGTCGGTGGGTTGGAGTGGGTTCAAAGTTTTGCGATGTAAGCGGTGAGCCGGTGGCTTGCCAGAGATAACCGTCGTCGGGAACCTCGCCGCCTGCCGCGCCGAGGACGTGTGGTGTTTAACAGCTGCTGCCGGTCCCTCCCGGTCGGCGGTCCGTCAATTGGCCGCCCTGGCAGGAAGCGCGGGAAAGAGCGGCACCGAGGCGGGAACTCTGGCCGCCAGCGCGCCAGCCGGCCGCCACTGACTGAGCCACGCCGCGGAGAGCAGCGCAGAGCACTGCCAGTGTCCCGCCCAGATGGCAGCAGGGCAACTCGGCAAGGTCAGGGCTGTGGGGGCCCGCCCAGGCTAGCCGGGCCGGCCGCGCGTCAGCGTCAGCCTACCTAGGGATGTAAATGCCGGTAATATTACCGGTAAAGAACGGTATAATACGGTAAAATACCGTATTTTACGGAGACCCCGGTAAAATTGGTATTTTTCGGTAATTTTGAAATATTGACTTATTTGAACTTCTTTAGCTTCCATACGATTAGACAGGACGTACGGACTGAAAATAGCGCTTCTTTTGAACTCTTGGTTTGTATCTGCCCCTCGTGCCACCCCGTGTACGTGTAAGACGTCTAGCCACTTAAAATTAATGTGAAGTTAATGTTCTCTTCTTTTGCAAAACTTGTGGAAATCAAAATCCATTTACGCGACCCAAATCTCCGAAAGGCAAATCAAAAACCTTTCTTTGTTGCCAAGGTTCATATAATTTTAACTAACTTAAAATTGAAAAGAGGTAAATCTAGGGGTAGATATTTGTTAGAAATTTGAGCTGAAAAGTGTAATGAACATTGGTATGGTTGTTGGACACCTTGCAGCCTTTAAGGAAAAAAGTTTCTTCATGGAATTGAGACAACTTACTTGGATTACGAGAAAAACGGCGCCCGTTTTGTTAATTCTTAAGTATATTTGGGCTGTTAACTTTGCTGCTCTACGCATTTCTTAATCCAGCCCAGTAGGAATAAGTGAAAAGCAGTCAGATTCAAAATTGATTTGGGAGGGTCTAGTGGGAGAATTGTTCATATTTTTGACCCACAGGGTCTTTCGTCCTTGTCTATTTCAAATATGCGACATTGTCCTTGAGTCATGATGGTTTGCAACCATGTTTGGAACGATGCGGCCGATAATTAATGATACACCCTCACCCAAATGAACCTCTTTTCCCCCTATTTCACAAGAAGAACCACAGTTACTTCTTTAAGTCAAGAAAAATCAATTTTACCCAATTTTACCGTATAATACGGTAAAATACCGTATTTTACCGTAATTTACGTAACTTTGAATCTTACCGGTATTTTTGCATCCCTAAGCCTACCCACTGGCGGATTCTCGCGCTCGGTCGAGTCGTGGGTCTGCGGTCGCGGCAGAGGCAGAGGAGCACGCGCACAGTGGGCCAGAAGACCGGTGGAGGCGGCCAAAACTCTAGACGCGTTTTGAGCTCCAGAGTCGCTCAACAGGACTCGAACCGAGCGTGTGACCCCACCAATGGATTGCTCTCCGAACGAGGAATCCATTGGTGGGGTCACAAGTTCGGTTCGAGTCCTGTTTAGCGACTCTGGAGCTCAAAACGCGTCTAGAATTTTGTCCGCCTCTGCCGGTTTCTGGCCCACTGTGCGGCCGGCGCGTGCTGGCCGTACTGGCCGCAACTACGCGGGGGGCGTCGCTGTCGTGCTTCGCGCGTCGTGCCGGTCGCCGGCCCCAGATGATTACCAGGGCGGACCGCGGGCCAACTCCAAACAGCGCTTCCGTCGCTCTGTCTCGCTCCAACTTGTGCAAAACGCCGCGTGAGTGCGAGAGAGGCTGTCCGGAAGCAGCCCGGTGGCGGTGTCCTGTGCGGTTTGGTGGTAGGAATGAATAGTCGGGAACGGTTTATGGAAAACCCAGCGTTTTAATTACAAATTGGCGTGTAATCTGTACACAACATTCTCAAACACAGAGCGCATTTAAGGCGCAACATCCACACTCTGTCGAACACAAGGCAGCAGCGCTCTCTTAAGCGGAGCGGGATCGGCTCTTGCCTTGCCAAAGTCAGTGCGGGGTAAGTCTGTTTGATCACCAGAATTAGGCCCACAATCTTAACAATAGTACAACAAGATAAATTAATTCCCTTACAATTCTTGTAGGGTGGATGAAAATCGGCGCGTCTCGACAGGAAGAAAATTGTTTCAATCACATCATAAAATAAAAAGCAACTTAAATAAAGCTTACAGGATTAAGGGACTTGATCACATAAAAACACTCTTGGGAAAGACTTAGGGAGAAAGCGAGGTACGGGGAGGCACAGGACTACTCTGCGCCGTTCCGTCGCGCATCCTATTGGCTTCCTTCTTGCGCTTCCGCGGCACTCGACAACGAGGGGCAAGGACTAGAAAGGAAAATAGAACACAGTCGTACAGGAGGGGTAAAAAAATAGCATCTCCTCTACCGATATGGCTCCTGCCGTCCTTGGCGAAGGACGCAGTAAAGTCTGTGGGGGCTGGCCGTGTGGCCAGCTTTAGGCATGTCAGTCGGGGACGCGAACAACGCGAACCAGTCGTCCTCGGCGCAGGCTGGCGCCATAATATGACCTTAGGCTGGCGCAGGCTGGCGCCATATGACCTTAGGCTGGCGCAGGCTGGCGCCATATGACCTTAGGCTGGCGCAGGCTGGCGCCATATGACCTTAGGCTGGCGCAGGCTGGCGCCATATGACCTTAGGCTGGCGCAGGCTGGCGCCATATGACCTTAGGCTGGCGCAGGCTGGCGCCATATGACCTTAGGCTGGCGCAGGCTGGCGCAGGCTGGCGCAGGCACCCACTGAGCGGGGCGGGCGGGGCTCTGCGGAGGCTCCTCCCTGGAAGACACCGCCGTGGTCCGGGCCGCCTCTGGGCCGCCTTGTCCCTTGGAGCCGCGACTCCCGGCGCGTTCACAGCTGCTGGGGGCACTCGCTGCAGTAGCAGGCGGAGTGTCCGGGCAGGCAGGCTGTGGCCGCGGCGGGGCCGCGGGCGTATGGCTAGAAAACCTCGTGGTGCACGGCCAGTTCGTCGGCCATGCCGTCCTTCTTGCACGCGCGGTAGATCTTGCACATGAGGAAGGTGAGCAGGCTGGCGACCAGGGCGCTGCCCAGCGCGCCCGACGCAAACGCCACGATGGACAGCGTGGCCCAGGTGACGGGCTTGGCGCACTTGACGGGGTCCTCGTCGCCGCCGGCGCCAGCGCCGAAGCCCTCCTCCGCCTCGAGCAGGTCGGCCACCGTGGCCGTCTCCATGGCGGTCAGGTTGGGGCAGTTGACCACGCCGTTGCACACCAAGCTGGCCGCGATGCACAGCCCGCCCACGCCGGGGCGGCCGGGCAGCCCGGGGCACAGGAACCCACACGTGTCCGGCTCCGTCGGCGGCGGCGCGGGCGGCGCCGGCGGGGAGGACAGCGGCGCCGGGTCCTCGTACTCGTAGTCGTCGTCGTCGTCCTGGACGGGCGTGCGCCGCGTCGTGGAGGTGGCGCCTGCAACACGCGAGCCAGGATTAGAGGACTGTGTTTTGGGGCTGACCTTGGCCCACTGGAGAGCGGGCGGACATGTTTTATTTAAAAAATAAATAAATGAAAATGAATAATTGAACACGAATTGCAAGCGTTTAGATGGATCAAAGCCTTCACTAAAACTCGAAATTCAGAAGGCTCTCACACACATGCACACACCAACATTGCTTCGTCTCGACGTGCCAAGGTACCACAAACACAGATGCGACTGCAAAACAACAAAACTCAAGCGATGCACTTCAGCCAGCACTGCATCCCAACTCAAACCGCGAGCCAAAAAATGAAGCCTCCTGTTTACCTTGGTCGACTCAAACTGAACAAAAGATTCTACAGTGCGGCGGCCGCCGCGCTACTGGGCCTACTGGACGCACCCACGGCCTCGGCCTTGTTGGCCACGACCACGGCCTCCTTGGGCTGCTGCAGCTTGGACGTCATGAGCGTGCCCTCCGGGGTGCGCGGCAGGTGGTGCAGCTCGGTCCAGGCGATCTTGAAGGCGGTGCGCGCGGGCGTGGAGAAGGCCGTGAAGTGGATGGTGACGGACGGCTCGTGCTCCGGCTTGAGCGGCGTCAGCTCCTTGGAGGACAGCATCGGCAGCGTGCGCAGCGCCGTCTCGTTGTCGCCGCACACCGTCAGGAAGGGCTGCACCTTGCCCGGCAGGAACACCTCCACCTTGCCGTCCGAGCAGTTCCGCGAGGGGAACTTGACCTACAACAGAGGACAGGCCAGCTCAGCGGACTTTGTTCCGGACGTCGGTCACGGTCAAGTTCATGGAGCGCCGGCCCGCGCCAGCGTGTGGGTCCGAATGTCTCGTAATCGAGCCGGGCTTAATGACCCGGTATCGGCACTACTCCGCGCTCACGGAGACCTTAGCCGCGTGCAACAGGCGGGCCGAGCGCGGGGTAGCGACGACTCGGCGCCACTCGGCCACTTCCCACGCCCTCGGCTCGGCCAGCAGCCAGCGCACAGTGGGCCAGACGACCGTGGAGGCGGCCAAAACTCAAGACGCGTTTTGAGCTCCAGAGTCGCTAAGCAGGACTCGAACCAAACGTGTGACCCCACCAATAGATTCCTCGTTCGGAGAGCAATCCATTGATGGGGTCACACGTTCGGTTCGAGTTCCCCTTAGCGACTCTGGAGCTCAAAACGCGTCTAGAGTTTTGGCCGCCTCCACGGTCTTCTGGCCCACTGTGCAGCGCACGTCACACACCTTCTCGAAATGCAGCCAGAGGTCGCGGTCCCGGTGCACCTGCAGCTCCCAGATGCAGTGGATGTCCCTGGGCGGCTCGGCGAAGGCCAGGGCCTCCAGGTGGGGGAACAGGAAGTCGCCCTCGTCGGCCGCGCGGTGCAGCGTGGGTCCGCACAGGGGGCCGTGGATGAAGCGGTACTCCGCCTCGAACAGGGGGCTGTTGTGCTTGAAGTAGGAGGACACGGCGCCGCCGCCGTCAACCAGCAGCTGCAGGGCCAGCTCCTCGCCCTGCGACACCATGCGGAGCGGGCCGATGCCTCCTGCGGGAGGGGAAACAGAATAACTCCGCATCCTTTTCAAGTTTTTTTTTCACATTTTTGGCGTTCAAATCCAAGTGAATTTTTGCATAGCTTTCCATTGAAATGTGAGCAGTAATGTGAGTGCGTGAGTGAAAAGGTCACGTGTAGGCGGCAGGCTGATTCCGAGAGTCCTTTTCGTCGCTCTGTCTCTCTCGCAATCATGGGGCGTCCCCTACAGGTGCGAGAGAGACAGAGCGACGAAAAGGACTCTCGGTTTCAGTGTGCTGGGGCCGCGTGCCGCGGGCGGTGTGCTCGCCGACGCGACGGCGCGTCAGCACGACAGCTGTCAGCGCCTGTGGCATAGGCGCCTCGCGGACGCGGCGGCGTGGCGGGCCGGTCTACCTGCCCGGCGTTCCCAAAGAGAAAACCCAGTCGACCCACGCGCTACGCCCACACTGCCGGGCGCGGGGCCACTGTGAAAAGCTGTCAATGCTGCTTACCCATTACGGCTCCTGCAAAAGAAGAACAAAGCCCCAGTCAGCACTACAGTCGTGCATTATTTTACAACGACAAATAAAACAGTACACTCGAAACGAAGGTGGTGGACGGCCGGCGGGGCGCAGTGGGCCAGAAGCCGGTGCAGGCGGCCAAAACTCTAGACGCGTGTTGAGCTCCAGAGTCGCCAAATGGGACTCGAACCGAACGTGTGACCCCACCAATGGATTCCTCGTTTGGAGAGCAATCCATTGGTGGGGTCACACGTTCGGTTCGAGTCCCATTTAGCGACTCTGGAGCTCAAAACGCGTCTAGAGTTTTGGCCGCCTCCACCGGCTTCTGGCCCACTGTGCGGGGTGACTCCGAATAGTCGCTTCGCCTTTTTGTCTCTCTCGCACCGTTTCAGGGTGTGACAGAGACGGAGGAGCTGCCCTCTGGACTCACCGTACGCGTTGTTCTTGCAGAGGCACACGGCGCCGCCGCTGCTGTTGGTGGGGGGCTCCAGGGGGCCCGTGGAGTTGAGCTGGGGCTCCCAGGCAAGCAACTTGTCCACTCTGTCGGACCAGCACTCGCCACAAGTCGCCGTGTTGTACGCCGCAGTCTGGGCACAACAACAACAACAATAAAAGAGGGGGCCGTTTGCATCACGCAAAAAGGTTACGGCACTCAGAGGACGACGCGAGGGGCGAGGGAGCACAGTGGGCTTCAGAAGCCGGTGGAGGCGGCCAAAACTCTAGACGCGTTTTGAGCTCCAGTGTCGCCAAATGGGACTCGAACCGAACGTGTGACCCCACCAATCGATTCCTCGTTTGGAGAGCAATCCATTGGTGGGGTCACACGTTCGGTTCGAGTCCCATCTAGCGACTCTGGAGCTCAAAATGCGTCTAGAGTTTTGGCCGCCTCCACCGGCTTCTGGCCCACTGTGCGGCCTGGCCTTCCTGCGAACGGCTCGCCCCACAAAAACGGGGCGGCGCGTGCGAGGGCGCGTGCGACACGAGGGGCGGAATGAAATACGTGGCCCTGAGAGCCTCACAACGACAAGAGTTACAAGCCTATCGGAGTTGATTAATTCCCACGTTTAGTGGCTTTTTAGCTGACCTTGAAGCTCAGCGAGTGGATGTTGAGGATGATCCTGGCGAAGAGGCGCTTGTCCGTAACGAAGCGGTACGTGCAGCGGATGTCCTTGGGCGGCAGCGCGGCCGCCAGGAAGGGGTCGGCGGCCTCCTGCACGGCCTGCGCCCTGGCCGCCATGATGAGCGCCCCCGTGGCGGTGGACGTCCTCTCCGGCGCCGAGGTGGTGGCGCCCTGCTTGAAGATGAGCGTGTTGAGCGGCGAGCGCAGCACGCCGGAGCGCGACCGCCACGACAGGAAGGTCTCGTCGCACGGCGTGCCGGGCACCGGGTCCCCGAAGCGCGTGTTGTTGAAGAAGTCGTAGTGCGCCCAGTAGTACAGCGAGGAGCCCGAGTAGCTGCCCGTCTTGGACTCGAAGCGGATGAAGAGCGCGTTGCCCGTCGACACGAAGTCGTGCTTCTCCAGCGCGCGGCTGAACGTGTCGCAGAAGGTCTTGATGATCCGCGAGTCGTCCGGCCAGGACGCGTCGTACAGTGTGAGCGACTCGCCGCAGTCGCCCGGCCACGGCTCGATGGGGCTCTCGATGCGGTTTATCCGGAAGCTGTGCAAACAACGACTGAAGTCACTGAAGCTCCTGTGTAAGTGCTTCTCCAGAGTAAAACTTTGACTAAACTTATGTGACCAAAAAACCTTTACAAAGGAATTCAACTTTATTTTGGCCATCAACGCCTAATTTTTATGAGTGCAGAACCCGAGGGGTCGTCAACTCACATCGCGCGTGTACGAAGTAATATAGTAATATAGGGTAATATATGTCCCATATTACCGTTTTTAGGCCGATTTTTCATACTACCTATGATTTAAGTAGTCTATTTGGTAAATTTTTGTGGACCTTTAGCAGTAATAAGAGCAATAAACAAGTAATATATAGCTTGTGTACGAAGTAATATGCAAGTTGACGACCCCTCGGCAGAACCTCCAGGCATCAACACTGCAAAATTTTTAAAATGACTTAATAACAAAACTCTGTGAGCGATGATTTTCGTCGTTACTGACCTGGGGAAGTAGAGGCGCACGATCTGGTTGGGCTCGCCCTGGATGAGGTAGGTGCAGGATGTGTGCGGTGGGTACCAGTGCGCCACGGACAGGAAGATGCCCTCCGAGTCCCCGGCCTTGGACAGCGTCTTGGACGACAGCCGCCAGCTGCAGGTCCCCGTCCGCTCGCCCACCGGCTCCACGTGGCCCGGCCAGTTGCCCACGTTGAAGTGGAAGCCCGTGTTGAGCAGCGGCCCTGCGGTACGGTTGCAGTGTAGGGTACGGACAACGCGCGTTCGGGACCAAAAACGTTTTCTCGCAGAATGCAAATTAGGCGACGGAGTCACTGGTCGGGAAATAAAATAAGCCCCGGCCAAGTAGTCGCACCCCTTAATTTGGTGCGGACCCCCGGAAGGTCCCCGCCGCCGCCGCCGCGGCCCCGGTCACGTGCCGGCCCGCCCGCCCCCCCCGCCCCGCCCCGCCCCGCCCCGCCCCGCCCCGCCACTGCGCCGCCATGTCGCGGCGCGGAAGCGCTAAGTACGTGCAGGCGGCGGGCATGAATTTTCAATCGGAGGCTCAAGTCGACGGGAGAGCAGTGCCTCTCGCCCTTCCACCCCCTCGGTGCTCCTCAGGACTTGTCCTCTCGTCTACACTGCTGCCGCTGCAGGCCTCCCGTCCCATTATCATGCAGAGCCACATTTTCGTCCTCAGCCCCCCCCTCGCGTAGAAGACTACGTGGCGCCGCAGTGTCTCAGCGCCACCGTGCCGCCTCACCCTCTTCTTCATCTCGAAGGTGCCCCCCCCCCCTCCTCCTGACGGCGTGCTCAACTGGATGACTTCACGGCGCGCTCAAATATTGTCATGATTTAGGGAAAGCCACGTGCCTGGCTGTGCGTGGCTGTGCCTGGCCGTGCCTGGCCGGGCCACGCGAGGCAATGAAAGTGAATACGAAATGCCCTTCACGCCCCTTCCCTTCGCGCGCCGCCCCGCCTCCTCCTTGTTCTATTTTTTTTTCAGCGCCGTTGGCTGAGTAGCGCAGTCCTTTTATTTCTTTCGGCACATCGAGGGAAAGGCCACAGAAAAGGCGAAAAAAAGAGAAAGAAAGTTTTCGGGGTCTGACGACGCCGTATGTGAGGAAAACAATTAGACAAATATGTTAGCCTTGGAAAACAAATGTTTGAAATTATGTAGTACAGTCCCACATTTACCTTTCAATTTTTTTTCCTACAAAGCAACTTTATGGATTTTTTTTCACTGCAGTCACGGCAAAGCCGCACTCACCGGCCGGCGACGTGACGAACTCGACGAACAGGTCCTCGCCGGTGCCGATGATGGAGTAGGGGAACTTGCCCATGCCGCAGAAGGTGCCGATGACCGGGGCCGTCTCGTTCTTGCCGTCGTAGATGCGGATGTAGTCGTAGGGGCAGTTCTGAGAACCTGCGCGCCCAAGCCAGCCAAGCCAGCCAGGAAGGAAAGGAAAACGATTAGTTCGGGGGCAATTACGGACTGCCTTTGAGGAGACCATTTGTCAGCCCGAGTCCTGTTGGGTGTCATAACTTCTGTCAACGCCCCCCCCCTCCCACGCAAAGGTCCCGCAGACACTCGTTCACCTTTCGCCGCTTAGTAAATTTCTCTGCCCCCCGCCCCCTCTTTGCCCCCGCTCACCCCGTTCCAGAGAGGCATCGTTCCCTGCAGAAAGTTTTAATTAACGCCCGAAAAGAAAAATGGAATACTGTGACGCGGTAATTCGCTCCTTTTTTCGCCCCCGCACCCCTTTTCTTTTCCATTGCGCTCTCCGTGCTCCGCCTGCCCCGCCTGCCCGCCCCGAGATGGCCGCGGGCCGAGCCCCGGGGCGCTCCATCTGCGCCGCATTCGCCGCATTCCCGCCAAAGTGGCCCACCAATCAGGTGCCGCCAACGACAACCGCCGGCCAATGGGCGGGCCCGTTTCAAAATAAAAAGCTCTCCCGACCCCACCGACCCCCGAACGCAAACAAGCCGCACTGTGCACACCACTTGACCGAATTATTTGTGTGTGTTTCGCTCCCCGTCTGCCCGCCCACCTGTCTGCCTGTGTGCCTGTCTGCCTGCCTGCCTGTCCGTCTGTCTGTCTGTCTGTCTGTCTGTCTGTCTGTCTGTCTGTCTGTCTGTCTGTCTGTCTGTCTGTCTGTCTGTCTGTCTGTCTGTCTGTCTGTCTGTCTGTCTGTATGTATGTCTGCCTGTCTGCGTGCGTACCTGTCTGCCCGTCTGCGAGGGAGTCGAAATGCGGCACTAAAATCCGCGACGCTGCTTGATGGCGGTGCTTGGCCGTGCTTACCCGAGGAGATGGGCCGCATGGGGCAGGTCATGATGTTCTCGCAGCGGTGCCCGTCGATGTTGAACTCCTCGTTCTCGATGTAGAGCTTGATGAAGGGCAGGCGCGTGTTGAGCTGGTAGCGGCAGTGCAGGTGTCGCGGGTACACGCCGGGGTAGGCGGGCGACTGGACGTAGCACGTCTGCAGCTTGCAGTCCTGGAACACCCTCTCGCAGTAGGTCCTGCGGAGCAGCAATCAGCAAGCACCACGTCAACTTCGGCTGACCCTTCCCTCCCACCCCGCGCCGCGCCGCGCCGCCCCGCGCGCTGCGGATGCAATTTGCAACATTGCGACGTCCTCGCCGCCGTTCGGACCCCTAAAAGCTTGCAGGCTGTAAAGTTTGGTGCCGCTGTCGCGGGGACGCGGGGACTCGAGGAGACGGGGAGGTGCACTGCGACATTTTCTGTCGAAAATTGACGCCAGCGGGAGGGAGAGGGAGGTCTTTGCCGTCTTGGCCCATACTGCGTCAAACTCACGCTTTTGTCGCTCGTCGGAGCTATCCCTCCCCTGCAGCGCCTCCTCCCACTTACGTCGGGCGGCAAACCTTTTCCCGGGGCCGCCACCCCCCCCCGGGGCACCCCGCCTGCATCCCCCGACATGCGTCACCGCTGCAAAACACATTTCATGATGCGGGCCGCCACGCCGCGCCGCGACGGCACCCCGTCTGCCCCACCCCAACTGCGTCACCGCTCGCGAGCATGGAGACAACAAAGCGCTGGTCGGCGGGGCGGCACAGTGGGCCAGAAGCCGGTGGAGGCGGCCAAAACTCTAGACGCGTTTTGAGCTCCAGAGTCGCTAAATGGAACTCGGACCGAACGTGTGACCCCACCAATGGATTGCTCTCCGAACGAGCAATCCATTGGTGGGGTCACGCGGTCGGTTCGAGTCCCATTAGCGACTCTGGAGCTCAAAACGCGTCTTGAGTTTTGGCCGCCTCCACCGGCTTCTGGCCCACTGTGCCGCGCCGCGCCGCGGAGAACCGTTTTCCGGGAAATTCGCGAGCGGCGCTGCCGAAAGACGCGTATCGGCGGCAGTCCATCAGCGGCAGAAATATCATCCGACAGAACGATGATTGTTAATGTGCTGGGTGTCCCGAGAGGACCGCTGCGTTCCCATTTTCGTGGCACGGCCGGGCACGGCCAACCCTGTCGGGCTTCCACGGTGGGTCAGAGAGCGAGAGGGAGAGGGGAGGGAGGGAGAGGGCCATAGAGCTCCCGGCGGGTGGCGCGAGACGCTTACCCCGGCAAAACCTGCCCCCGTCGGTTGGGGTACAGCTCCGGGTGCTGCCCGTAGCGCAGGTAAACTTCGAACTGCTCCTCGGCGCGGCTGTCGAAGCTCAGGTACGTCTGGTCGGTGAAGTTGTCCGTGTGGAACAGCAGCCGCACGAAGCTGGTCTCCGAGATGAAGGTCTGCGGCTGCTCCGACTCGCCGCAAAACTCGCCCGGCTCCTTGCGGTTGCTGAGGTCCGACTTAGCGTTGCCGTCAATGATCTGCAACATGAAAAGGCGGTGCGGTGAAAGCCGGTCACAAACTTTCCCTTAATTTCACTCCGCGCGCGCTGCCTGCCTGCCCGCCTGCCGGGGCCGCGGGCCGCGCCGCCCTCGCCGGGATTTATTACAAGAAGACGGAAAATATTTTTCCGCGCGGGTGTCGGCCTGCCTGCCGGCCTGCCGGCGCGGCCTTCAGCGGGGGAGGTTAAATTGTTTTGATCTCGGCGTACTGCCGCCAGCGATTCCCAGCAGAACAAACACCCCACCGCGCCGCGCCGCGCCCCCTCAGCCTTCCGCTTTCCACACGCGCCGGGTTCAGGCAATCGCGCCGCCCGGCCGGTTGTGAAGGATAAAGTTAATTCTTTAATCCGAGGCGCGGAGTGGCGGCGTGGTATGGAGTGGCGGACCGGGGCGATGCAAGGGGGCACTGCCGTGCCCCCGCCGCTCCACTTTGAAGGAGGGCCAAGTTTCCCCTGTATTATTGTGCGCACACCTTTCGGCCGCACGTCCCCCCCCCCCCCCCCCCGAGGAACGGCATTACTGGCGTGCTTTCACGGTGGTGCGGCGGGGCGAAAGGGGGGGGGGTGCGGCCGCTTTTTGCTACTTTTCCAGACAGCTCGCACTGTTCCAGCATGGTTCCAGCGTTCCGGCCATCAAACCCGTGTGGGGGCCGGGGCTGGCCTGGGGGCGAGTCCACCGAGTCGGCCGAGTGCACGGCAGCGCCACAGTGCCATGGCAGTGGCGTGGCAGTGCCACCGCGCTAATGGCGGCAGCAGGAAATGCAGGACTGCACTCGAAAAAAAATAGTTAAATAATAGCAGTATTTCCCTGGAAATTAAAAACAACAACACTAGGCAACATAACAACAAAAACGGGGGAAAAAAGGTGAAGTGAGTTTTTCGGTGGTAATTTCACCCCGCTCTGCAATCTCGGCAGCTTCCACCACGAGACTTCCAATTTATAACCCCTCTTTCAGCGAGTTATTAATTTAAATTTCGTTTGACTGCATAGGCGACCGCCGACGACGCGCGTTGCGCAGCGACGAGGAAGTCTAATTAATGTCCTGCTGGGACTTGGCCCCTTTCACAGACCGCCCTCGGTGCGCACAGTGGGCCAGACGACCGTGGAGGCGGCCAAAACTCTAGTCGCGTTTTGAGCTCTAAGGTCGCTAAATGGGACTCGAACCGAACGTGTGACCCCACCAATGGATTCCTCGTTCGAAGAGCAATCCATTGGTGGGGTCACACGTTCGGTTCGAGTCCTGTTTAACGACTCTGGAGCTAAAAATTCGTCTAGAATTTTGGCCGCCTCCGCCGGTCTTCTGGCCCACTGTGCCCCGCCCCGCCCCGCCCCGCCACGTCCCACCCCGCCCCCGCCACGCGCTCGCGGATCGCACCGTCAAACTCGCGACCCAATAAAAACACGCGTCGCGCTCTGTCTCTACCAAACCGCATCATGGGCCGCTCTCACGCGAAAACGCGAATGAGCGAGCGAGCGAGAGGGCGAACGGCGCCACAAAGCGAGCGAGCGAGATAGCGGCCGCAGCAGCACACGCCGCAACGTGTTATTTTCTGATTCCAACACCTCCATATCCGCTGCACTGGCCGGGGAGGGGGTGGGGGCGGGGGAAGTCCAACCCCAAAATGGCGGCCGCACCGCCACCACTCCACCCGATATAACAATAACCATTACGGGTAATCACGGCGGCAGACCTTTTTGCCCCCCCCCCCCCCCGTTTTCTGCCTGACGCAGAACGCGCGCGAAATCCACACCAAAGCGAGAACAAAGCGCGCGCGTGGCAGCCGCTGGGTGCGCCCCACACCGCGCCGCCACGCTCGTCACAAGAAGTTGCGGAACAAGAAACGCGAGGCGACGGTTCGAGGGTTCAACCCCCGGAGACGGCTACGGCTCCACACGTTTTGCGAAGCCGACGACGGCACGCCTGTTGCTCCCCGGAGCCGTCCCCAGTCATCCCTCGGCCCTATGCCCTCGCGGCCCCGCCCGGCCCGAGCGACGGGCCGAAAACGCTGTACCATCAAGGATTCCTCGTTCAAACCCCCCCCCCCTTTGCCCCTGGAGCCAAAAGCGTCATTATTTGCGCCCCACGGTGTTATTAACTGGCCTTCCCCGCAGACTGTCGCCTTACCAAGACCGTAAAACGCTTTATTAAAATTGCATGTATCACCCTCCCTGCCGCGCCCGGGCCCCCCTAGTTCATGTTATGCCCCTGGATGGTAACTGGATTCCCAAATGGAGTGTACTGGGAATTTGGGCCGGGTTGGGGCCCCCTCCCCAAACTTCCTTCGTTTTGTCTCTAAGGGCGTGTCAGGGCCACCTTTTTTTTGTCTCTCTCCAGCCCGGCGACGTGGCCGGCCTCGGCGCCCCGCACTACTCCTCGACGTGTGCCTCCGCCTTCAACCGGAGCGGCGCGTCGCCAGAACTTTTCCGAGGCGTGCGCATAAAACGTGCGGACGAGCGGCCGCGTCGCGTCGAGTGGCTTTGACAAAACGGAATATTGCCCCTTCCTTTGAACGCGGTGCTCCGCGCTGCTGCGCGTCTCCACAGTGGGCCAGAAGACCAGTGGAGGCGGCCAAAACTCTAAACGCGTTTTGAGCTCCAGAGTCGCTAAATAGGCCTCGAACCGAACGTGTGACCCCACCGATGGATTGCTCTCCGAACGAGCAATCCATTGGTGGGGTCACACGCTCGGTTCGAGTCCTGTTTAGCGACTCGGAGCTCAAAACACGTCTAGAGTTTTGGCCGCCTGCACCGGTCTTCTGGCCCACTGTGGTCTCCGCGCCGCCCCCCGATGCGCTGCACCGCCGTCACCGCCGCCCCTCGGGCTACGATTATTCGCGTGGAAGTCGTGCCATGCGTCCTCCGGAAATCCGGAAATCCGGAAGTCCGAGGGATGGCCCGTTCGCTGCCAGCGTGCCGCCAGCGCGGCGAGCGGGTCCCAGGCCGGCGGGGCGGGGCGGGCCCCGACGGAGTTCTGAGGGGTTCGGAGGCTTTTTCGGAACGAATAATACCACTCGACGTGCCATTCAAGGCCCCGGCAAAAATCCAGCGGGGCCGGCGATGAAATAAACAAAGTTGGACTGGCGGAGGGCTGCGCCGGGCGGGCGCGGCGAGACACAGCCCCCGCCCCCTCCACTGCCCGCGTGACGCCGCCGCCCCGCCGGATCGCAGCAGAGCGCCTGTTTGTCAAGTGGTTTAGGGGCGGCGCTGTGTGCAATCGGAATTCAAAGTCGGGCGGGCGGACGGGACGCGGCCTGCAGACAGACAGACGGACGACGGAATCAGCACGCACGTGTGCTCATTATAGGGACCTAGAGGAGCATCGCTGGCGTCCTGACGAGGTCCTCCAGCAGCGCCGACCTGGCCATGCGCGGCGCGCAGCCTTTGAATAGCGTCGCCGTGCAAGGCTCGTCCCGAAATACACGTCTGGTGCCGAGTAGCCCCGTCTCTCTCGCACTCGCGGAGGGGCCTTATCGGTGCGAGAGAGACAGACAGTGCCACCTGGCGGCGTCGCGGCCAAGCCATTGTCGAGGCGGCCGTGGAGTCTCATTTCCTGGAGAGCCAGGACCGGCCCGCCTCTGTCTCTCTCTTCCTCGCGGCGCGGCGCATCCCTCAACTTTCCCCGCGTGTATACGTGCAGCCTCCGCGCGCCCGTCTCGATCATCACATCCTATTACGGCACCGCTATATTTTTATTTTCTTTTTCTTTTTTTTCTACTCTCCCCCCCCGGTCGGTGGCGCTTCATCCCATTTTCTCTCGCGCAGCCTAGCCTCCCGCGTCCGCCGCTCCGCCGCTCCGCCGCGCCACCGCCTTCTGCAATCCATGTTCCATCAAACGTCATGCAGCGGAACGAAGGCGACTTGACACGTCGTCGGCGTCGGCTGGCGGGGAGGCGGCCGGCACGCTCATTCCGAGAGTCGTTTCCGTCGCTCTGTCTCTCTCGCACCCACGCGGCACGCCCACGAGTGCGAGAGAGACAGAGCGGCGAAAAAGGACTCTCGGTATCAGCCTGCAGGGGTGAGTGAGTAAAGATCATTGCGGTGAAAGGTTGGTCGCAGCTTCGCAGCCTCGCAGCGAGGCGGTGACGTCACAGGGAATCCGTGATGCGGTCCACTGCGAGGATCCTCGCTCCGTCTCCCTCGCACTCGCGGGGCACCGGGGGGGGGGGGGGGGAGAGAGAGAGATGCCGCTGCCCTCGAGGGGCTCCATCCCCGATCTTGACTTTCTTCTGCCGGAGCCAAAGGATGTGGAAGGGTGGGACAGGCGGGCGAGCCGAGAGACGGGATGATATGACCACAGCGGTCCCCGCTTGCAGGGTCAAGGTCCTATCTCAAATGCATAGCGAGATCCCGTGGCGTCCACAATTCCACGTAACGCCCGCCGCCAGGGCTGCGGACTGCGTTACGTGGATACGTGGACGGCCCCCGAGAGGGAAAAAGGTTGAGAAAAGAGAGCCGCCGTCCCCAACAGTGTCTCCGCCGAAGCCGTTTCCGAGAGCAGGGACGGGGGAGGAGGTTCCACCAGTGAGAAAAGGATTGGTGACGATGACGTTGAAAAGTGACGCCGTCGTCCTGGCAGCGAAAGGCCGTCGCTGTTTCTGTGTCCTCTCGGCCTCATCGTCGCGGACCCGTTACACTGCCAGCGAGGACGACAGCGGGAACAGCAAGAAACAGGGCGGGCCGAGCAGGGTGGTGGGTAACAGGTAGAGCTAATCAAGGCGCACCCACACTGCCTCTCGGCCGCCCACACGGCGGTCTGCTTTATGGCCACAGAGGAGCTCCACCCCGTCTCTCTCGCACCCCTACGGGAGCGCCGCCCCACGAGTGCGACAGTGGGCCAGAAGACCGGCGGAGGTGGCCGAAACGCCAGACGCGTTTTGAGCTCCAGAGTCGCTAAATGGGACTCGAACCGAACGTGTGACCCCCACCAATGGACTGCTCTCCGAACGAGGAATCCATTGGTGGGGTCACACGTTCGGTTCGAGTCCCATTCAGCGACTCTGGAGCTCAAAACGCGTCTGGCGTTTTAGCCGCCTCCGGCTGTGTTCTGGCCCACTGTGCGGCGCCCCACCTCCAATACATCAGACGGCAAAGCCCACGCGGCAACTCTGCCACTTCTGGCAAGTGATTTAGCCGAAAGGCTTTATAAGATGCTATAAATTTATTCCGCACGATCGGTATCTACGATAAAATGTCGCTGCTGCCCGCTGTTTTCGAAACCCGAAACGGGGCGGTCGGGCCGAAACGAAAACGGCCCGAAGGAACAGTGAGTCGTAAGGCCTCTGAGGTGAAATTATGAATGTAATCAAAATGGTGGTGTTTTTCGCCCCTCGGCCCGAGACGAAAAACAGCGCTTAATTTCGTAATGCAGTAATTAAGACATTATTCGGTTCGCATGCGTACGGAGCGTGGGGAGCGACTTTATTTACCTCACTGCTCGCGGTTTCCGCTTCGGGTTAGCGTTATCGGCCGCGTGGGGAAAATTCCAACTTGTTTCTTTTTTCTATTTATATATGACTTTTTTTACGGCGCGGGCTGTGGGGCAGCCAAACACAGCGCTCGGTACTCGGGGTAAGATTGATATTCTAGCATTATCGTATTGCAGCAAGGCTGGCCTGGGAGTCACCAGCACGCAAGTAGTGGGCCAAGGAGAAACAAATTCGAGTGCAGAGGTCACGTTTTCTTCATTAATTGTACCTTCTAAAACAGGACAGCAGAAAAAACCTCCTGTCGCACAACACGGCTAGTAACATTCAGAGTGGTGTTTTCATTTTATTACAATTTATGTTACCTAGGGGGAGATCCTTAGGGACTGCGTCACGGATGACCTACATAAAGATAAGTAACCTCCCCCCACCCGCTCACGCGTACACACACGCACTGATGACCACGTGCCGGAAGACACACACGCAAACACATGGCTGCCGAGCCAACGGGGACTCTCTCAATCAGAGGTTAAGTTCACTTGCGTGTGTGTGTGTGTGTGTCTGTGTGAGTGAGGGTGGGTTCCGGGCGTGCTGTGATGGATGAACCTCTCGCACGCGAAGTCGCCTCCCTCCTCACCGTCGTAACTTTATTATATTCGTACTTTTTAAAAGCCGGACCGGTGGTTGACTCCCAGCTCGGTGCCGCCACCGACACGGAATCCCACAGGCCAGGCGCATGGTCGAGCCGGAGTGAGTACTGTATCGCGTGCTCTCAAAGAAGTGCATCGAGCATCGAGTCGGCACTAGTCATTAGTTTTCGCGTAATGGGACTGCTCGAAAAGCAGTCGACACCTGTCGCGTATCGCTAGGGCTCACGTTTTAAAAATTTGGCCTATGCTGCGGGCGCCTGGCAGGTAGGCAACGCCGTGCTGACGCGTCGTGCGGGCTGGCCTACGCTGCAGGCGCCTAGCCCTTAATGGTAATGGTAGCGGCTAGGCAACGCCATGCTCGCGCGTCGTGCGGGCTGGCCTACGCTGCAGGCGCCCCCTCCCAGCTTGACCGATCGGTGCGCCATCCCGTGCCCCTGTTGACCCTTCCGCCCAGAAGTAAGCCATCGTTTCCCCCTGCAAACGTTTGCTCGCGACTGCTCACCCGCATTCGCCCGCATTGCCTCCTGCTGCCCCATTCCGACCGTTTCGAAGCGATTTGATTCCCCCAACTCAATAACACCAATTTCTTGCTTGACGGCGCAGACGGCGGGGCAAGGGACACTCACAGCCGCAAGATTTGCTCAAAGCGAATGGACGGACGGTGGGGGGAGCTTTCGTCCCGAAAAGAGAGGGGGAAATCGGAGAAGAAAAAAGAGGGCTGTCGTAAGCCAAATTCAGGGTCAGTTGGGGTGAAGTGAAGTATAGGACGCAGGGTCAAAAAATAATGGGAAAGCTGTTTATATTCGTTCGCCAAGACCGGTGCGATATTAGCGAGGTTCGGCACTCGCTGCCCAAGAACTCTGAGCGTAAGTAGAGTCTGAGTGTGGGGCCCGGGTGGGGACACGCATCTCCTTTCAGCAGGCGTCTCGAGAGACGCGAGTGAAGTGGCTTCGACGCCACGCCGCTCAGGAGGTCGCACTGCAGCATGGCTGCACAGTGGGCTAGAAGACCGGTGGAGGCGGACAAAATTCTAGACGCGTTTTGAGCTCCAGATTCACTAAACGGTTCTCGAACAAAACGTATGACCTCACCAACGGATTGCTCTCCGAACGGGGAATCCATTGGTGGGGTCACACGTTCGGTTCAAGTCCTATTTAAGGACTATGGAGCTCAAAATACATCTAGAGTTTTGGCCCGCTTCCACCGGTCTTCTGGCCCACTGTGCAGCCATGTTGCAGCCGACTGCAGTGGCTGGCACCTCACGGCGCAGGCCGAGGCAGGCTGGATCTAGATAGCCCTCTCTTTCCCAGCCCGTACAGAGGGGCAGGCAGGCCCAGGAATTAGGGAGGCTCGGAAGACGACGGGGAGGGCGGAGACGGAGGCGGGGGGAGCGCGAACGTCAGCAAACTCGTTCAGCCCGGCTAACGCCCGCACTTACCGGGACCCGGCCGACGGAAGCAAGCAGGTCGAGACAGACGCCGATCCACGCGGCGATACGAGGAGGCTGAGGAAAACTTAGAGACACGCGGAAAAAAGAAGACGGAAAACACCGCTAGTAGTATAGACACCCCATTGTCACAGTCCGCCATCTTGAGTTCCCTCAGTCACGGGTAGCTGGCGACTGGCGCGTCAATCTGTTGTCCTAAGGGACGTGTACCTTGAGCAACAGAACACCGACGACGTGTCCTTACCTGCATGTAGCCTCCGAGACAGGTGCTCGCGTTGACCAGCGTGCCGACCTTGAACTTCTTGAAGCGGATGCGCAGGATGCCGTCCCTCCTGGCGCCGCGCAGCGACCGGAACCGGTACGTGCAGGTCAGGGGCTTGCCGAAGTTCTCCGGGGTGACCTCGGGCGTGCCCACGTCCTCGTACACGTCCACGGTCTTGTTGCAGTGGTCCTTGCGGGCAGCCACTGGAACAGCAGAAACACCAACGGCTCAGTACGCAAGCGGCGCGGCACGGCACGGCTCGGTCTATTTAGGGAACATCTATTAATTACCATGCAGGGGGCGGGGGAGGGTCGGCATGATATATCCGGCCAAAGTTAGACTGTCCGTACGTTATGCACAAGGGGTGTGGCAACCGGGGTCAGGGGAGAGATACACAAATTCACCTCCAATAATTTAAATTGGAAAACGGCGAAAGAAAAATATGAAAATAGATTGGGTCCAACGGATGTTTATTTAGCCTGGGGCTTCGTCGCTGTGCCCTTTGCCAATAACTGTCGACAATTGGCGGACGATTGTTTTTGACACCGGTGCGGCCACGGCGCGGGAGGTGGCTGGCCGGGTCCCTGGCGCGCTCTGGCCAGTCTCCTCAAGGATTGTGTCCCGCAGCCCCCGGCGGCGCCGGCGGCACGGTCGGACACCGGCCCGGCCACAAAGGGGCCCGTGAGTGGACCGACTCGGGGTTCCAAAGAAAGCTTAGCTGTTGTGTGTTTTCGGCCGCCGGGCAGGCTGGCCAGGCCGGCCAGGCCCGAGGGCGGCCGCGTAAGAGGCTCAGCGCGCACTACTTGTGGGGCTCGGGCAGCTCGAAGCCCTAATGGGTATTACGAGCCCACCACCGTGGGGCCCGCCTCGCCTCGCCCGCCTTGGCCCGTGGGGAATTCAAAACAGGGAAGCGACGAGGCAAACACATTTACCAATTCAACAGGTGGAGCGAACCCAATGTGGCCTGTGCCCGGAGTGAAGTGTGTCGAGTGTTAGCATGTTTTAATTTTGCACGTCGCCGCTCGTTCGCGGAGAGCGGCGTCTTTGCCGGGCAGCTCGGGGCAACTCCCTCAGCTGGCGGCGTCTTCTTCTGGCAGAGGGGGATGCCCGCTCCGGTACGTTAATAAAAGAAGGCGAAACCTGCGCTCTATTTCCAAGGCTGGGTCGCCTGCTGATGAAAGGCGCTCAGGCGGCACCAATAACAAGCAAACAAAGACAAAATAAGACGAGTTTCAATGTTGAACCCTGCAATGGACTCCGACTTGAGTCCGTCTCCGTCGCAGAAGCCGCAGAAAATGAAAGTCCGACGCGGGGTGCGGCTTGATCTCTTGGAGACGTCGGCAGCGGGGGGAATGGAAGAGACGTTTCCTCTCTCTGTTATTGTTTTGTTTCATTCGATTGCAGATGGCGAAATCTCTCGAAAAGTGCAAGAGTCATCATGAAGGGACAGGGATGACATGGTGCGCGGCATAGCGTATGACAAAGAATCGCCTGAGCCTGGGCAACCCTCAGCTTTTGCCAGGACAATACTAAACGAGACCTAGAACCAGATAAACATGGACGGGTGTGATGATATCGGTACCCTCTGACTCTTGCTCTCAGCTTACTCATGCCTTTACGTCCCCAGCAACGTAATAGAATCAGATTGCGGTCAGGTGGACAAGAAGGGGAAAGAGCTTTGCGCCGTGCGATAGGAAGGGAAAAAAGAGGAGGGGGAGAAGAGCTCCTCAGGGAAATGGCTAGCCCCGTTGTGTCTTGGCCGCTCCCCCTCCCGTATTGTTACGGAGTCCTGCGTGAGGCGACGAAAAAAGGGGGTAAACACATCCAACAGAGACGCAGCAGCAAAGTCCGACAAAAACAAAGTGTCACTCAGACATCGAACAGGATTTTCTTCCCCTTTTTTGGGAGGGAGATCTGTCCCTCCCTTCTTTTTTCCCTCATCCCCTCTTCTGAGCAAAGCCACGATCGCCATTTCCACGCGGGCGAGTGCAGTGCTCTGCAGTTCCGCCCCTTTCCTGTTTCAAAGTCGTGCCACCGTTGCCAGTGCATCGAACCATGGGAAATGTCCCCCCAAGAACCAATAACTCTGTCTCACCCAGACAAACACACTCACGTACAAACACGCACACACCAACACACGGGGGGTTTATCAGGCCGAGATGTGGGATTTGGGCGAGCGTGGCGGGGGGCCTCGTCCCTCGCGAAACAACACCTTACCTTCCCGTCTATATATTCTCCCAATCCGCCTCCAGTGGAGCGCAGCACGGCAGCGGGCGCAGCCAAGTCGTCACAGAACATGGACGCCGCACAATGCAGCCTCTAAGGGACGTGTTGGAACCTGCGGGGACCCTCGTCAAGGAGCCGCTGCTGCTGGACGCCCTGGAGGCCCTGGAGGCCCTGGAGGCCCTGGAGGCCCTGGAGGCCCTGGAGGCTCTGGAGGCCCTGGAGACCCTGGAGGCCCTGGAGTCTCTGGAGGCCCTGGAGGCCCTGGAGGCCCTGGAGTCCTTGGAGGCCCTGGAGGCGGGCCACCCTGTGGCGTCGGCTTACTATCTTATTTTGGCCTGGGATTTGTACGGTCGACTGGTCGTGCCATGTTTGGAAAACGGAGAACGATCGTGAGGCACGCGCGCGCTGCTGCAGCCTGGTGCCGACGAATCATCGCTGTCTTCTTCGCACTCACGGCGCGTCCCGGAAGGTTCGAGAAAGAGGGAGCGTCGCGGAAGAACGGCGCACGAAATGGGCCGGAATCGGCCATGGCGCCCATGACTTGATTCCGCCACTTGGCGTCTTAGGCGAAACGCTTGCACGCCCCTCCCGATCGGCACCTGTTGGCTGCCGACGGGGAAAGGGACGGTATCACTATTCCTCGCGGGTACCGACGACCCTTTGCGGGCCACGGACGGGAACCGAGACCCTGGGCCCGGGGAGCGGGAACCAATGACCTGGTTGGCGCCACCACTGTGCTCACTCCGGGACTGTGGTGACTGACCCACTTGCGCTCCGGACTGAAGTCCAAGATTGCGTCAAGCAGGTCGACTGCCTTTTCACACCGAACGAACAGAACAACAGGAAAAGAATGAACAAACCGGAAGTGTGCCGATGTTTTTTTGCAATGACATCGGTAAGGCGAATTTTATCGGAATGGCGGTCAGCCTGCGATGACTTTTGGCTGGTCTCCGGCTCACGTAACACGGCGCGGCACGGCGCGGCACGGCACGGGGATAAAGACGTCGTAGTCGGACAGATGGCGCACGGCCAGCCAGGCGCGCCAAATCGGTGACCGCTGCCGCCATGCTGCCGCCATGCGGCTGGGCCATGAAGGGCCTCCTGGTGCCGGTACGGCGCGGTGCCGCAGGGGTGTCCCCCCTCCCTTCCCGGTAATCCAGCGCTCCTTCAATTAAAAACACACGCGGCTGAAAGCTGCGCAGCTCCCCCTGCACCTGCAGGCCCACTAGAACCACCCTGGAAAAAGGGGTGTACTTTCCAGGACCCACCTGGGGATCCCTCCAGCCATCCGACGGGAATTACACGTAACGTTTAAACCCTAATCGAGTCCAACAATTAGGCCGCTTTGATTGGCCGCAGGTTCGTGCCGAGGTGCTAAAAGTCGTTCCGACTTGTCCGCCTCCCCTCGCAGTGGGGCGGACGGCAGGCCGAGGGCAGGCCGAGGGGTTGGACGTGGCTCGGCCAGAGGCGCGCGCACTGCTCGCCCGTGCTCGGCCACCACGATAGCCTTCTGGCTTTCTTATCTGTGACCAGCGCTCCCGGCCCCGGGCCGCCCCCGCCGGCCTCGGCCCCAGACGCCACGCCTCCGGCGTCGCTCACGCTAGCCCCGCATTACCGCCAGGGAGCACCTCGGCGCACAGTGGGCCAGAGGACCAGTGGAGCGGCCAAAACTCTAGACGCGTTTTAAGCTCCAGAGTCGCTAAACAGGACTCGAATCGAGCGTGTGACCCCACCAATGGATTCCTCGTTCGGAGAGCAATCCATTGATGGGGTCACACGTTCGGTTCGAGTCCCATTTAGCGACTCTGGAGCTCAAAACGCGTCTCGAGTTTTGGCCGCCTCCGCCGGTCTTCTGGCCCACTGTGCGGCGCCGCCACCGTCGGCGCGGCACGGTGGCAGGGCAGGGCGTGGCACTGCACACGGCCCGGCCAGAAGACCCGTTCAAGCGGACACTCCATGAACACGCCTCAAACTGACGGACTCAAATTTGATCAAAGGCCCGCGAACGGGAATCCACACTGGCACTGTCTGATTCGAGTTCCACTCGGCGGCCTTGTCGTCCGGGGCGGCGCGTTCCCAGGCGAGGACAGGGCGGCCGGGTGACAGGCGACCACGGCCAGGTGCGGCTCGCGAGACGGCCACTAAAAGGCCCGAAGTGTCAGCAGGCCGGGCAGGGAGGCCGTTTCTCGGCCTCGACGCCAGCGCCTCCCGGCAGTAAAGGCGCGGCCGAAACGCCGAGCTAGCACGGGCCGGTTTATGGAGGGCGGTGCCTTGCGACGGTTCCGCGTTGCTCGGCTGTCGCTTTAAAATGCCGTTGGCCCGACGGTTTGACGTTTGATTCGCTGCGAGTGAAAGGTGTCGCGTTGGGCCCAACACTGCAGCATGCTTATTGCTTGTCGTAATGACGGGGTGTTGGCTGCGGGCCGCTTGGGAACAGATCGCTCTGTCTCGCTCCCACCCACGGACTTCCCGCTGGAGTGCGAGAGAGACAGAGCGACCTCCTCGGAAGCGGGCCGCAGGCGCCGGCCCCTTTCCGCGGTTCGATACCTCCCATGTCGCCGCCGTCCCGGGGATCAAAAGGACAGCGGCCCTTATATTGTTTTCCGCTCCACTTTGATGTCGCTAATAGTTGTCGTGGAGACGACGACATAACGGCGTAATTGGCAATTTCCACCGACAAGGGAGAGGCGTCCCTCGCAGCCGCCACCTGGGCGAAAAAGTCCGCGAGATTGAAAAGGCGGAAAGGAGGGGGAAATAAATAAAACTGGCGGAGATAATCACGACAAGCTCAATACGCTGTCGGCCGTGTTCCGACAGTGAAGGCCGAGGGGCAGAGGGAGAGAGAGGCACACTGTGAGGAAAGGACGGCAGAGCACAGAGCCGTACGCCCACTCGGCCAGTCACGGAGGCACCGCAGGGCACCCTTGAGACCCTTCGCGGACGAGCCCTTTGGCCAGCCCTTGGCCAGCCCTTGGCG